AGGAGCAAGTAGCTAAGTAGCTACTAACAACAAGAAGCTACTAGGAGAAGAACGCTACTAGGGGGTCCTGGCCGTACTACAGGAGCAAGGACGCTACTAGGAGCAAAGGGCATTGCTACTAGGAGCAATGTTCTCTTCTTTGTCTTTTGCGAGGAGCCGTGGCGAAGCTCAGCCTCTTGGCTCTCGACGACCGTCGTGGTCCTATCGCCCGGGTGTCATTGCCACCGCCGCAGCCTTGGCGTTTGGCGTTTGGGACCTTTGTCATGATCATACTGTAAGAAGCAGCTTAGCGATGTTGGACAGATGTTGGACAGGTTCTTCTACAGCGAGATGATCGCCCCATTTCTGAGTTTCCATGGCTTGGAAGCTCAATTGCGGGGCTCTTGTGACCGGGATACAGTATATCACAGTTTCAGAATGCGCCAATTTGCAAGTCAAACTCCTGCCAGGCCCAGTTCCTGACCAGCTCTATGTCATTGGCGGTCGTGACAACAACCAGGCAGGCCTTGCAAGCTGGGGATGCAAATTTCAATGGGGTTCTCACAACATGTTCTCACTGGCTACTCAGAGAGGGGTAAGGCATCCCAGACCTAGGACTCCGCAGATTCCTAGGACCTAGGGCCTTGTTTTATAGTGGGGAAGTGGGGAAGCCTCGAAGCTAATGGCACCGGGATCAATGAGATTGGAGTGACCAGGAGCCGCTGGATGTGGTCGAGATGTTCGACGCGTGGAATGGAAGGTGGCAAGACAGTCACACTGCAGTGTGAGCAATGTGCAATGTCAAGACTCTGTTGGTGAATGTGAATGAGTAGTGCTCGAACTTCAGGTGGGTCACGTGCCCAGGAATGCTGGCCAGGAGGGCAGGCCAGTGGGCAACATCATGTGCTCTGAATCCCGTGATTGTTGTGATATGTGATTGTGCTTTGGAGGATGTGCCGCAGCAGCTTTGCCCAACGGCTGCTTGATGGTTTGTGGAGGCGACGTTTTAGGACACTTGTTTCTTTTATTTCTCTTTGGTTCTTTTTTTGACTCTAGACCTTTCCACTTCAGAGCTTTTCTTGTTTCGTTACCTTCTTTCCTTCCTTCCTTTCTGTCTGTTTGTTTGTGCGTCTCCCATGAAGAGTGTTCACTGGAAATTGGAAGAAGCATTCTACTCATCCACTGAGGCTATGATGAACAAGGCATTGTCCGGGGCGTTCTGGACAGCTGCGAGGCAGGTGTCAGTGGTGCACCTAAGCGACTAAGTGCAACTGAGTTGTCATGCAATGGACAGGTCTAGTTCCATAGTGCACTTTGAAGACCAAGCTGTTGTTTGTGTTTTTTCCATTCCTGTCGCTATCTATCCCTGCTTCCAAGTAATTTATGCATTAGTTGAACGCGTAACCCAAAGTAAATCTACAATTTTGTTGGTCTTCCCTTTTGTGACAGTTTATTTTCACCATTTCCTAAGTGCGTAACGAAGGGCCCTCGTTGAACCCTACAGTTCTGGGGGTTGACGCTGTGGTCGCTCGACGATGCTGCCGCCCACAAGAATTAAACCCGATCTCTCTGGCAATTTGGGCGTTTTGAATGGATGGGCCTCCAACCTAAGTCGGCGCTTTTTGGGGTAAACTTTGCTCTTCACTTGCTCTGGTACGTAGTCAATTTTGCTTTGATGACTCGTATCATGATAGTCTTGTTGTTGCAGTGCTGCTGTTGGACTTCCATGTAGAACAGGTTCTGAAAGCGTTGTCGTAATGCATTGGAAGTCTGATTTGTGGAGTGTAGGTCGATTGGCCAAGTTCAAGGTGTAGCGTCTATCCAGTAGTCGAGTGGTCTCCACCTTTTTGGGGTGCCCTTTTGGCTAATAGCAGGGGTTGGTGGGAAAATGTATACTAGGAGCAAGGACGTTACTAGGGGCTCCTGGCCTTACTAGGAACAAGAGGACACTACGAACGGAGCAAAGGGCATCGCTACGAACGGAGCGATCGGACTTTCTTTTGCCTTCGGATCTTGGACAGTTTGCCTAAAGAAAGACATGCCCCTACTAGTAGTAACAAGTGCCTTACTAGTACTAACAAGAAGCTAGTAGAAACAAGTGCC